GGGGGGGGGGGGGGGGGGGACAGGTGTGAGAATGAGGATGTTTGGTGCTGATGCTGACCCGGAAAAGCGGGCGCGCCGTGCGCATGCGCGCCGCCTTCGCTTCGCTTTGACGCGCGGCTAAAGCTTTTAGCAGGTTTTGGGCTTTGATATGGGGCTGTGGGGGGGTCGGGGGGGGGGGCGGAGGGGGGGTAGAAACCTTCTCTCCTCTCCGCTGGTTGTGTGCATGTGCGAAATTCCCGCCGCCACGCTCGCTCGTCGGCGCACGTGCGCGCGGCTCGCTGTGACGCGGCGCGTGGCGGCGTCCGCGCGTGACCTTGTGTTTGGGGGCTTTAAAGCGGCTTTAAACGGTCCTGAACACAGCCGGGGGGGGGGCGCGCATCTCTTTTTTTTTTTTTTTTTTTTTTTTGGGGGGGGGGGGCCCCCCCCCCCCCTTCCCCCCTTCTTCCCGTCCCCCCCCCCCCCCCCCCCCAGTTGGGGGACTGGGTGTACGAGAAGATGCTGATGGCCAGAGACGGAAGCCGGGACGAGACCCAGAAGCTCCACAAGAAGTGGCTGAAGCACCAGGCCTTCATGGCCGAGCTGGCCCAGAACAAGGAGTGGCTGGCCAAGATAGAGAAGGTGAGCGCCGATTTTTTTTTGCTTTTTCCCGTTTCTGTTTCTGGAGCTTTACGGGCTGACTTTGCTTTTCCGAGGAGCTACATTTAACTCTGGAGTTTGATATGTGGAACTCTGCCTGTTAGGGCTGAAAGTGGATGTAGTTGTTGTTCTTCTAAAGAAATGAAAGTGATCAGTAACGTTGGAGCATCGATGGGAAATCGGATTTTTGTGTGTTTGTTTGATGTCGTCCATCAGGCCTCTTCAAAAGTTCAAAGGTCAATGTGAGTCTACAGTTATAAACATAAAAAATTTCAAATAATTTTGTCATTTTTTGCTGATCCCCAGAATACCGAACTTGCTTTATTTCAGCTTTACATTTAATTTTACAGGGTTGTTCTAATTTTTTTAAGGGTTATCCCCATTTAAGTTAAAAGCTAAATTTATTTATTAATTTTCTGACTTCTTTAGGGGTTTGATATTCTGGCTCAGAGTAACCATCCCCCTTCTTTTGTTTGATAATCTCAGTATTGGTACGTTTCCATTTGTTCTGAAGGCATATAGTATTTTTCAGAGACAGAGGTACATTTTTTAGCTATTTTTGCTCCTCTACTGAGTCTACAGATAAAACAACGTACATGTTTATCATAAATCTGAGATTTAACCGCTCTGTAAGTGGAATAATTGGAATTTCCTGCACACTTATTTGTTTTTGAGCTATTTAATCACACTGAGTAAAGATCTTTACATCGTTTTGAATCATTTAGTTGTTTGAAAGAATGTGTGAGGTGGGTTTTGAGATTTACTGAGCTTTTTGTT